TTCGAAAAATGTGCAATTTATTGCATGGAGCTCTGGGCTGAGCACCACATGAAAACTCTGAAGATGATTGCTGATTTGCTTTGGGAACTCATTGCGCGGGGTGCGAAGGGTTACCATCCACCGGTGTCGGGAATGTATTGAGCGCCTTGGCTCTTCAAAACTGCTTGTGCGAGAGAGAGTTCCGAGGGGTTTCATAAGCTTAGGTTATCCCACTTAGGATTTGATGCGTTTCAGCCATTGCTGATAAATTTTTAGGTGAGCAGAATGAAAGCTTCCGAGCAAATAGTATGCACCTCAAACTTAGCATCAGAAGAAACTTCAAGTTTTTTGGCTTCATTGTCCACTTATGCATGTACATCAAATGGCAGCAAGCACAACCTTGATGCTTAAAAATATGCGTGGGATAATAAGCATTGGATGCTACGCGGCTAATGATGTTTAGATAGAGCTTTCGACTAGAGCTTTTCTTGCTAAAAAAAAAGAGATGTCTACAGCTTTTCGTACCGGTCCTCTTCTATTGGAAAGGCACGTAGAGATATTAGGCGCATCATCAAGAGACTTCTGCAGTCTTAACTGGAGGTTAACAAAATACTATTAGAACTCTCTTTAGACAATTCGAAAATTTCCTTTATTTTTATGTATAAAAAAGCGAATTAAGGATATCAGTAAATGGGGCATTAATTTTCCATAAACGGTGTTCCCATATAAATATTAAGCTCAAGATCCCATTGAGTCCAAAATGATATACGAAAGCATGTATGTGTGTTACATGAATAATATATTTTTATTTTAAGTTCGAAGCCGAAGCCTGATCAAATGAAACATAAGAAATTGTATGAAAAGTTTCAAGGCATAACGTCATATGTAATGGCGTTATCAATAGATTTAATATGTATATACATATATGTATATAACCGTTCGCCAAAGGATACAAATGTTTTGAAAATCTTACTATTTTCTTCACAGAAAACTAAATTAATTCCTTTGGTAGAAATTAGGAATCAAATAACATTTTAATTCAAATTATATGGAAATAAAGGATCCTTTCGTGCTTAAGTTGAAATATTGAATAAAAATTACGTACTTTAAAAAAAAAAACAATTTAACTTGTGCTACTGAGTGACGAAGACTGCCCTTAATCGGCTCACATGATATTTTTGATAAGCATTATTAATTTATTTACCATTTTCTTTGCATGTATGTGAAATTAATTAAAACCCCGTATTCGTAAACAATATAAAAAATTAAATTAAAAAATATAAAAATATTTTTTATTATTATAATTATCAAATTCATTTTGTTCTCTATTTATTCAGGTTTAATTACATTGCATTCAAAGAAAAAAGAGAAAAAAAAACATAACATTTTTATTATTTCATTATTGCGCCAGTTTAATTAAAATTAATAACTGTACAGTAATCGCACCACAATCCGAAAACCAATACATGAGAATTAGTAAGGCGGCGCGCAACGAATCCCAGCCGAGCTTAATGAGCATAAAATATAAATATAAATTTTAATTGAAATACCTTTTCAGGCGCTAAACTCAAATTAATCCACTTAGAATGGCGTTGATGCGCATTATCAATACAAAAGCTTAACCAAATAAAAATTGGATATTAAAATTGATAAAATAATAAAAACAAAATGTGATGATTTAAATCGTTCAACCATAAATTGCAGCCAAGATCCGCTTTGAAATTGCCTTTCAATTTGGCTTGCATTTTAAATAGACCGTTTGTAATTTGATAATAAATTAACTGTTAGAATCAAGGTAATAATTTTGCGAATGAATTTGCCAAATAAAAAGTGGAAGATTTTTCAAACTTAGCAAATAAATACACGAGTAACGCCAATTCTAGGCCAAGACACGTTTAATTACGCTCATAAATTATAAAGATACGAATAATTTTAACAGAAAAAAAACACATACTCAAATTCTCTGTTGATACTTGGTTTTTAAACAACATTTTCTACGTAAAAAAAAATTAAAATTTTATTTCTACTTGTTGGACAAAATACGAGAGCTTTGGCAAAAAAGTAGTATTAATCTGGAACAAAATTAGAACACGCTTTTAAATAAAATATTGCGTTAGAAAAAAATCTATCAACACCCTAGGGATTGAAGCTTATGAGCACGTAAATAACAGCGAAGAGAAAAATTCAAATTTCTAAGTGGACTAAAATTCGCCGAGATACGTAAACTCATCTGGTAGTTGGAGATTATCAGTTGGAATCAATTCTCTTTTGCCATTTTTTTTCTCGAAGTGCATCCCAACAAGATAGGTTGATTTACAAAAGATGTTTTTGAACAGTTTTTAAGCAAGATTTTTAAGGTAAAAATATATCAATGCAAAGCTTTTTGCAGACTTTTGATTAGGTTTAAACTTAACTACAGTACTTCAAATGTATTTACAAACCTAATCATATCGAATTCGAATAATTTGCCGTTTTTTCAAATATCCTTGGGATCCGCAGTATACTAAATTTAAGGCTCTAAGTTAAAAATGGAACTAGCAAAAAAGTATTCCCTTTTCATATGCTCACAAAACCCTGTCCAATATACGCGATCCCTGTTTCAGGCTCTGCATTTATGTAGAACTAATCTAGACGGAACTCAAAGGCTACAGTATAAATCATTGACAACAATATGCAGGATCTGCAAAGAAATACTGGCGAAACGTATAGAGCTGAGTGAAATTATGAATTATGAACTTTGAATGCATGTCCACCCATTTTTATATATATCTATACATGTTAGTCGAGATACATGTCCAACTTTGAGGCGTGAAAAGTTGTTAATTTTCATGATCAACATCACGACGAATGACGTTCGAACACTCTGACCATTTTCTATACCATGCCTAAAGCCGACGAAAGTCTTATACAATTTAAATATTAATAAATCGACTATAAAAATCTTTGCGCTGTAATAGCATACGGAGGCTGATGCGATATATATCCAAACGGTTGTTTACTTTGTAAATATATATATATATATGTTCGGATGATTCGGCGCTCGGCAGAACATTCTCGTTAACTACTCAAGATTCTATTGATGATTGTGAACAGGGTGCTTACAGATACATATGTATATAGCAGGGCCCCTTGGCAAACACAAAATTTCTGCAATTCATAATTAGCAAGGTAACGGAGAGATGAAAAAATTGCATTGCAAAAATAACTTTTTTAAAATTATTTAACCAGAAATATATTATAGCTCTGGCTAAAGATTGTCGAGAAAGTGATCTAGCTGAGACAATGACTATGGATTTTAATTTTATACTTCTGCTCGTTTTCGTGGCTAAGATTTGTTTGAAAACGAGATGAAGGCCCTGATGAAACCGTAGTCTCTTCGAACTGAACCGAAAGGTCAAATGATATCTCTTGTTTTTGCGTCGTGGAATGGTGTAAAAAATCAATATTATATATTTTTTTATATCATCTGTAAAGATTAGCAACAGTACTCACATATGTATGTATGATGGCACTGCTCTTAAGCGTCAAAATCTATCAGATCTATTAGCTATTTCGGAGACATTTAGATTAATGTGACAGTGATTTTGGAGTATCATTAACACCTTAACTTTGTCATCTCAGTAGCTTTTAAAAAAAACCATAAACCTCACGAAAAAAGCAGTATAATCTAGACTTAAAGAAACAAATCCCTTTTTCTCAAGATAAGAGAGTTCCAATACAAAAGAGGGAATTTCTTCTAAACCAGAAAATACTGTTGTTTTTTATAATTAGTTTAAGTTTAAGTAAAATAGAAATTTCGACATACAAAATTGATGAATGAAAATTATTTACAAATTATGTGTGCCTTAAAGAGAAGCTTAACATATGATTTATAAAACAGTTGAAGAAAGAGCAGGGCGGAAAATAAAATATTATACAAAATAATATTAGAATATAAGAAAAGCCCGTTTCCTACATTCACTGAATGCTTTTGAATTTTGTGTGGCTGTGATAAACTATTTCTGTTAACTAGAAGGCAGGGTTTTTGAAAAAATTTAATATACGTTATAAAAAAAATTATAATAAAAAATATATAACAAAAAGAGTAATTAAAGAACATAATTTATACAAGCGTAGAGGCCTTGTCCTGCGTGAAATTATGATTTCTGAAGAGAAAATAAATTTGTGTTTATATTGTGCTGAAAATCATTTATTTACGATTTGTCACATTTTTTAATGTAACGCTCGATGAACAACATTTTCATTTTCTGTTCCTGTACGTAAATGTACAGAGAATATGGTTTTCCAACTCGTGAACACGTCATGCTCAGCTGGCTTTGTGAAAATCAAGGCATTTCCAGATTTATGCCACACACTTCCAGCGGCTATCCTTCTCATATATCTATTGATTGTCGCATTAAAAATCTGTCCTAACATCTGTTATATTTTTTTTTTTAAATCTCTATAGGTTTGAACAAAAAACCACAAATTATATAAAAAATGAACTGAAATTGATAAAAAACTTCTATGGAAAAAAATGTCTTCTTAAAGTTTTCTAATTTTCCGACTTTTCCTCGCGAAACGTATAAAGTTTTTTTATTTCTCAACCTTTCCAGATCCACAACGAACAACCTTTCCAAATTTTATCAAAATTGATCCAGCCATTCTCGAGCCATTGGATCACTAATACATAAAAAAAAAATATTATTTCCAACAAAAAAAAATTTGATATAATTATCACTTGCCATAACACTGATTATATTTGATGCTTTACAGAATGGGAATTGAATTAAATTAAAATATTTTTGAATTTACTACGCAGGAATTTTTTTAATTCTCCAAATATTTATTTCTTAAATTTTTATTATGATATTTATTATGTTGGCTTACTTATTTTAAAGCTGACTTTTTGGAAACACCAAAAAAATATGAATATGTAAATAAATATAAAAATATATGAATTAAAATTAAACAAGAGAATCGTAAATTGTAATACTTTTTTATCTTGCTTTTATACTATTTTTTCGATTTTTTTTACTCACTTTTGCCATTGCTGCTGTTTAAGTTTCGTTCCGAATTCTTCAAACTCAAGAGTAATCAAATCAATTTGTATTGCAATGTCCTTGTAATATTTTTAAAAGAATTTACGTTGGCACGCCTTACAGTAAATACAAGTAGATTCAAACAAATATGTATGTACTGGAAAATATGCACATTTAGCACCAAAAACAAATTAAGCACTAATAGTTTATCGTACAATATAACTGTTTTTGCCTATGGAGCTTTTTCTTAAATTTTTTCAATTTTAAAAATGCTTTATTGAATTATTTAAAAAAAAAATCACGAGTTTGTATGTTCGATTTATTATCACAGCAAATTGTCGTTTCAACACTTGTTTCTTAGTTTCGTAATTTATTTTGATTTTATTTTTTTTTTATTCCATGTAGAATTCTTCGCCTTTAATTCACACTTTCAATAATTACCAACGCGCAAATTTCTTTTTTTTTTAATTTATGAAATCTTCTTTATACAGCTTGAGAGCAAAGCTTGCAATCATACGACGATCTGTTCGGCGCAAATTTTCATATTTTACTGTCAAGAATTGTTGTGACAAATTCACATTTATATATGAATTTTGAATGCTTAACGCGCATTGTTGTTGTGATCATCAACGCAGCGACGGAAGCAAAAACAACATTGCGAACAGTCGGCGTCAACGACTGCCGCGACTCTGACAATGAAAATAACGAGAAGAAAAACAAAAACAAAAACAAAAACAAAACCTCTACAACCGCCTTAGTTAAACTTAGAAGAGCAATAACAACAAATCTAATAGCTGAGATCAAATCAAGATCGGCAAAGCACCAGCACCAGCATCAGCAACAACAACTCCGTGCAGCATCCATCAACTGGTTTGGCTTGCAAGCCAATATCGGGCCAAAAAAATCACTTGATTAACCAACGCTACATACCAACACAATACAAAAGTGTCGCTCCGAACTCGCTTGAAATAATAATATGATTGACCGTGATGGGGCTAGTGAGGAAGGGGCATCGCTTCTGATATCACAGATTGTTGATTCTAGTTGCGTGTAGTGTAGTCAGCGCAACGATTTAGATCATTATCATCGCAATGATTATGGTAATGTTGCTTAATGAAATTAATAATCATTTAAGTTTTTTTTTTTCTATTTCTTATTCGTTCTTTGTTTATTTGTTTATTTCACTTTTTTAATTTTGTCAACGATTTAGCACCTTACAGCTGCTCAACCACTTTGATCGCTACTAGTTTTTGTTGCGGTGTTGTTGTTGTTGTTGGCTAACAAATTTCGCTGGGTGTTGGCGCACGTTTTGTCTGCCTCATTGTTGTCTGCATCGGATGCGAGTCGACTGATAAGCTGGATTGTATATGTTTTTTTTAAAAGTTCTAACATTTTAGCGATAATTTCAAGTTAACAACTCCTTCGATGACTTAGTATGTATGTATATATATACAATTTCGTACAGCAGCAGACGTCATTGTGGCGAGTTAACATGCATGGATAGTTAAATTACGAGTACAAAGTTTTCCAAAAAAATATAATATTTGCTAATTTTATTAAGTAAACTACGAGGCCTTGTGGTTTGTATGAATTGTGACAGCTGTTTCGGAGACCACCACATCTCCATATATTTATTGTTGCTGCGTCCCTGCCGAAGACTGAGCGCACCAAAATTCTGATAATCATTATAGTCTAGATTACAACATTTAGTTTTGGAAAAACTGAATACAAAATCAATATTCTTCTTTAAACCCCTCTTCTTAACCCCTGCGGGTTAAAAGTTCAAGCATTAAACTACGGTAAGGCATGCCTGTCGTAAGTGGTGACTAGTCGCGAACTAAATTTCTGGTTGGTCACCAATGCAGAATCACTTCTGCCAAATTCGAAATACTTCTGATCACGTCTTGTAACTATTGCCAGCTTGGAACTTGATCACACTCATAGTTCTTGGCATAAATGTGTTTTGAATTTGTCTCAAGGAGTGCGTCCTCTGGTATACATACGTTGCAATCATACTTGAGCGGACCCTTAAACCGTGTGAGTCGAGGTGGCTACACTGAAGCTTTCTAATATAGTAAATGCGCCTTATTAAAACTAAAAAAATATATCAGAAATATTTCATCAATATATATAAATTTTTATTATTTTCAACGCAAGACTGAGTTAGCTCGCAATCTTGTTTACTTTGACGTTCAGCGCAAATTGATAAGAAAAATTATATTTCAAAAACGCAAAAGATTTTAAATGCGATAAGCCGACTTTTGTCATTTTTCCGTCAACTATAAGATTTGAATAATTAACCACGTCAAAAGCATTTAATTCCATAATCTATTGTACAAGAATATTTTATTTTATATTGACTATTTATTGAATTTAATTTCAATTTCCATCGTGAATAATTTTGTTCTTGAGCAAAGGAAACATTAACCGGAAAAAGCGCGGTGTGACAAATTCCATAAAAAATTATGAGTCGTAAACTAAATTAATTCTAGTAAAACAAGCTCCATTTCTAATAAATATGTATGTATTTCATACAATAATTTTTGGAAATTAATTCACTGAAGACACAATGACGCTATCTCTAGTTAAAAGAACTCAATGAATCAAGGCGTGTTGGAGGTGAACTAATTTTCATTCTTATTAGATATGCATTGCGCTCGTTATTTCACCGACAAATGGAAGCTAAATTAAATGCCTTTGATTTTAGAAGGCTTAAATACTTTTGTTTTCTTCATGCGATAGTTGTCCATGTGCGAAGCGATCCATGTTTCAATGTAGACCATGTAATTCCAAAGATTGCATGGAGCTTTGTTGATAGTGATTGCAAAGGCTAGTCGAAGGGAGGTAAAGAGTGAGTATGTCTTCACCATTGAATGGTGCGGTCAGAATTTTTGGTTTAATCACGTGCTTCTGTAATTTTTTGACTGCAAGTTTTGATACTCTCGGCTGATTAATATTACGAAGCATTATATTGGTCACCACTACTTTCAAATTTAGGAAAGTAAGGACGCATTTAAATCCAAAAAATCTCTCACCAAGATTGCTATTGCAGTTTCAAATCTGTCCTGTGTACTGAGCTTCACATGTATATATATATATGATAAGAGGAAGAATATTGCTGTCAATCACGTAATTATGAATACAATTTGCGAATATAATGTAATTCATGTACAGCCTTTGACCCTTTGATACCATACACATGGCATATTAAACATTTCCGCAGAAGCGATTGAAAGTACACTCGTGTATATACGAGTAAGTGTAGCGAGTTAGCGGACCCCAGCTTATTTTGAATGAATGACTTTGGAACAGGTTTTGGGTTTGGAGAAAAACTTGCTCCTATAAATTTTCAGATTTACATATTTCGTATTATTCTTTCCTCATTAGCGAAACGTCATTCATGTTTTATGCAGACCAGTTTTTAATCGCACATAAACACTTAAATATTTTAAGCTGACTTATTAAGATATTTATGAAAATCGAAAGACTAAAGATTGATTAAAGCAACGAGTTGAGGATATTCACGTGAGGTAAAGATTTAAAACTTCAACTTCAAGCAAATAAGGCAGAGCTGAGCTAAGCCGAAAAACGCTTCAGCGGTTATAAAATGACAATTATGAAACTATTTACCCACCGAAGGAAGCTGAGGAAGAGGAAGACCTCCACACCATTAAAGAAATCAGATGGAAAAGGACTTACGTGCACTTGGTATCTCCAATTGGCACTACATAACGAAAAGTAGGAGGAAGTTAAATTGACTATGATCGCGTAAGCGGGATCCACACCTGTAAAGAAAAAGCAGACAACGATAAAGTTTTCGTTCATAGAATTCCACCCGTTTGGTTTTATACGAGTTCAATTTACTATTCGTCTTAAAATTAAAAAAAACTCTTGATATTTGAAAAGAGATATTTTCTGTTTTCAGATCTGTAGCATTGTTTCCATTGAATATTTTCCAGCAAAAAGAACTTGCAATTAAGAGAAAAACTTGAAGTCAAAGCTGTGATTTTTTTGGTTTCCCAAATAAGTTTTACTGTTTTATTTTATTTAGTTTCGATGACTATTCTGTACTCAAGAATACTGTGGTCGAGCGATGGAAGTAGCATTCAAACTTTACTCCTACAAACAATCAAGATCAGGGAAGAATACTCAAATCTCCGATAGCACTAGCAGCAGAATGCAATTGTTGATTGATTTGAAATCTAAGGAGTTCATTGCTACAGGGACAATTAAAGATAAAAGAACTAAAAAAAATTCTTATTAAGACCAAATAAGAAAAGAAAAAAATTATGAGGTTATTCAGGTCATAGTTTCGATAAGAAAATAATGAAATGTTATGCGTGAAAAGGCATGACAACAATGAAGTATTATATCTCTTGTCTAATTTCTATAATGTTCAACCTTTTTAAAAAAAAAAATAAGTACACAAAGAAAGCAAAGGCCAAAGCTCATTCAAAATTATATTAAAAATTCGAGAGAAGTGAATAATCATGATTGTCTGATTTCTAGATATCCACTTCGCTTCTGAATTAAACAAAAAATGGTGCCTAATCATTCACGTTTTAGACAAGTCTCTAGTCTAGTCAATGTATGGATTATTTGCTACTGGCTCTGCAGGGTATCTTTATCTTCGGTGAAAAGATCGGAAGGCAAAGCAAGTAAACCTACATCAGGTTCTTCAGAGAAGTTGCCAAGGAAAAGAATGTAAAAAATCCTTTGCAGTGATTATTTCACACCTTATCATACAAAATAAGCTTATACAATTTTATATCTGAAAGTTTTTACGATTATGTTTTTCAAATAAATTTGAATTTTCTAAAATTATTAACATTCATTTTAATATCCACATTGTCCAATATACGAGTATATGTGACATACAGTCAGCGCAATTAGTATATAAAAAAGAAATTCTTTCTAAACGTATTCAGACCATAATTTCAAGATTTCAACAAAAAATTCCAATGTTTTCGATGCTTGGAAGGTAATGGGTTAAAATAATTACTTTCGTTTAATTTTCGTCAAGTATATGGTCAACTTACTCTAACTAACTTATAGACTGTTCTTTCCATGAATTGCGGATTTTGGTGATATTGATTATAATGAAACTATCCGATGGTTATCTATACTGTCGAAAATAATACCTCAGTGATTGGAAAAAAATTACATATTTTATTATTTAATGGCGCCGTCCATAAGCAAAACTGGCGATTCCGGCCGACGAAAATCTTTATAATATTCATCAAAAAGGGACCGTTTAGTGTGGTGTATCAACAAGACGATTTTTTCGGGGACGAGACTTTCAACGTCTTCACAATCAATGGCGCGCGCTACAGAGCAATATGGCGTGACTTTAGGTTTCCGGCTGAATGACCCACTTCTGGTTCCGACAGGACGGAGCCACAGCACGCACTAGCCACCGCGCGCACCCGATTTGAGTCCGCCGCGCTTCTTTTTGTGGAGATATGAGAAGAGTAAAGTTTACATTGAAAAGCCGCAGACCATAGCTCAGCTCAGATACAATATTCGTTGGAAAATATCGCTTATTACCACCCAGTCGCTGGTAAATGTGATGAA